ATTTTTGTACATCCTAATAGAAAAAGCACAATTTATTTCCTTCTTGTTTATCTTCAGGCGTTCGTTATTGATATATTTCGAAATTATGAATATTCATTTAGTCTTTCGTTCATATATGCAGCAATATGTATCACGGCGAATTGTTAATATTTTTAATTTTGAATCATCTTTTTGTTGATTTATCTCTTTTGTTAACGCATCGGTGTGTATGTGTGTGGTACCAGGTAGAAAGTATATGTAGGGAAGTCGCCTATCTGCGCACATTATTGCAGTCCAAGCATCGACAATTGCAAGAGCTCGTCAACAGTCAGGAGCGTGCGCAAACCTGCCAGCGTCAGGAAAAGGTAAGGATTTATTAACGCGAGGAATCTTCGTGTCTGTAATACGCACGCATATTGCAAAACGACGCGACGTATACTCGCACTATATTCGTGAAACTTTCTTTTCTGATAACGCAGACAGTTAAACGTCTCTCTATCTCTCTCTCTCTCTCTCTCTCTCTCTCTCTCTCTCTCTCTCTCTCTCTCTCTCAGCAGTAAATCTTTATTACAAAAATAAAAAATGACGGAAGTTGCGAAGTTGATCCCGATGGCTAGATCGGACGTGTTACTTTATAGTAATTTCAGTGTAACTTTGTAGAGAGTGAGTGAAGCGGAATGTGCATTTCAGACGGATAACGGTGTCGGCAGTGACGACAGCCTGCCCGAATCCTGGTCCAGTCTCAACGACGAAAAGTGTATTGACAGCGTCAGGCAACTGGTGAATCATCACGTGAGTAAATTCGAGCGTCCCTTCGATCCCGTTCTGATCGCTTTCTTCTAAAAAAATAAATAAATAATAAAAAAAAATTGTGATCTTAAACAGAAGAAAGAGCTAGCCGCTTTGGAGAACGAGCTGCAGAACAAGGTCAAATCTCTGAACGAACATCAGAGTAAGGTGGATAAGATGGAGGAGGAGCTGACGGAGATCGCGAAGAGGCAGAAGCAGATATTCAGGGCGGAGGTACGTACGCGTGAAAATACGTTTCACAAAACGATTTTTTACGTTAAGGGGCGTCACAGGCCACCCCTGAGGTTTTAAAATGATATCTTAAGTTTAGGATTTTTTGTGGGTAAATGGATAGCTTTACTTAAAATTTGCTTAGAGGACATTATTGTACATATATAAGAAACCAAAAAAATATTTTTTTATTTTTCTCATGTCCAAAATGACGGCGCACTGGCCTACACACTTGCAGAATTCTTTTTTTTCTATCGGTGTACAAGATTCCGGGCACACGATTTGACCTTGAACGAAACACAAAGAATTTTCATTATTTACATATTAAAAACTAGAGAAGTAGGGATTTTTCAAAATATTGATTTTTCTCAAAATGGCAGCTATTTTATGAAAGATGTTGTATTGACAAAAATACGAACTTTTCTTAAAAATAGCTGTCATTTCGAGAAAAATCAATATTTTAAAAAACCCCTACGTACTTCTATTCTAGTCTTTAATATGTAGATAATGAAAATTCTTTGTGTTTTATTCAAACCGTGTGCCTGGAATCCTGTACACCGATTTGGAAAAAAAAAAACAGAAAAAGAGATTTCGTAAGTAGGCCAGTGCGCCGCCACTTTGTACATAAAAAAAAATGTTTAAAAAAAATTTTTTTTTAGTTCCTTATATATGTACAATGTTTTCTAAACAGCTTTTAAATAAAGTTATCCATTTATCCACAGAAAAATTAACTTAAAGTACCATTTTGAAGCTTCAGGAGTGACGTAACCCCTTAATGATTTCTAGCTGGGGGACGACGGAGTGACGGAGAAGAAGCTGCTGCTGGCCAAGCGGACTCAGGAGCAGCTCGAAGAGATCGAACGGCGCAAGCAGAGCCTGTCGTTGGACCTGAAGCGCGCCACGCCCGCGTTTCTGGACGACGGTTGTTCGTCGAACGACTGCGACGACGCGGCCTTCAGCTGCGACTCCAGGTCGTTCCAGGATGCGAACAGCAGGAAACACCGAGTCGCCGCGGACTTGAATTTGCTGCCGCAGAGTATACCGAGCTCCGACACCGCGGAGACGTTTCACACGGCGGCGGCCGATTCGCCGGAGCTTCGCATAGCCTTCGAGGACGCCGACACGATGTGTATAAGCGATCTGATGAGGAATCGATCCGCGATCGAGAATCGACGTGACCACGATGACGGAAGCTCGTCCGAGGTGGACACTAAGAACTCGACGAACGCGAACGGAGCCGCTTCCATGGAGCTGAGCTTCGACGAGGAGGGGAAGGTGCAACCGCCCGCGGTGTCCGCCATCGCGGAGAACATGCTCCCGGAGGACACGGTGGAGTCGCCGATACAGCAGAATCCGGCGATGAAGCGGCTGAACCAGAGAATCGCGCGTCAGCGGATGATGGTGATGAGATGCCTGGACGCCGGCACCCCGTCGAAGGAGGATCTCAATCAGCAGATAATGATACTGCAGGATCTGCAGAGACAGCAGATCGAGTTGGAAGTGTCTCTGCTGGAGGACGAGCGGAAGAATTTCACGAGGCGGCTCGAGTGCGACGGCGACAGCGACAGACTCGTCGGCGACGGAATCGAGGACTATATGCAGAACGAACCAAATGCTTACTGTAGTGTCGTAGAGCCTACGAATAACAGCTCCGCCATTCTGTTGACGGTAGCGCAAACCAGATCTCAACTTTTCAGGAACAACAGGCCTAATACTAACGATCAAGAGACTCTGTCGGAATCGTTAGCGTCTAAAAGATCCTCCGGTCGGGGTTACTCGACAGTTTACTTGACGGTAAGTCATCGGGCGCGTCTCTTTTCTCACGTCTCAGACGAATCGATCCCGAGAGACGACACTTCAAAACACAGACACGTTTTTTGCACAGAGTCAGAATCGCGGCGATCGCTTGAGCAGTCCGTACTCCTTGACGATCACGAGGTCCCTGCCGTCGTTAATAGCGAACGACAACGACTGCGTGATCAACATGATCGTCAGCGTGCCGTCGTACGTGATACGGGGAGCCGGCGCGTCCAGCCATTACGAGTACGAGGTGCGAGTTGTGGCGCAGGACGACAGCTGGACGCTGCTACGTAGATACAGGAGATTCCGGGAATTGTATATATCGATGCGACAGAAGTACGGTAGCAAGGTACGTTATTGTTTAACTACGCTATGCAGTAATTATGAAAGTGACATAAATGTATAAGAATTCGAATCAATTATATAAAATGTCAGGGTATCGAAAAGTGAGAAATTTCTCAATGGTAATTAAATTAGCTTCAACGGTAAGAATTTTCACGTTTCCGCCCTAAGGAAAAAGTTACATGAGAGACCCTCAAGTTCGAATATAATTTAAAATTTGAAGAAATTATTTTTAATTCTAAAATAAAAAATTTTATCATTGCAGAAAAAGAAATCTTGTCAAAAAGTACCTCGCTAAATCATTAAGCTCGCTTTTTAATTAATTCAAATTTGTTACGAAATTGTTTTTATATGTAATTTTATGTGCCGTGTAAAATACGGAAGAGCATTGAAAGATTGGGTCACACACATGTATACATAATGTATAAATACAAATCAGAATGCACACATATGTACATAAATATTGCATAATTTTATTCTGAATTCTGACACGAATTATAGACGGTCTAAAGTGGACTTTAAACTATGTACATAGAAAAGTCTAATTATTTCGAAACAAAATGTGCACGCGACCTCAGACCACTTTCATAAACGTAAACACGCATTAGCGATACAATTATCGATTTTACGGATCACTCTTTGATCACAGGTCGCGGCGATACGCTTCCCCCCACGCCAGGTCTTTCCGAAGTACGAAGTCGTGGCGAGGCAACGTCGGAAACGCCTCGAGGAATATCTTCGCCGATTAATTCAAGTTTGCTCGGAACTGCCGCACTGCACACCACTATACAAATACAACGGCAATCTTAGCAACATAAATAAGCAATCCCTACTGGAATTCAGTCCGTTTTTCAGGCGCGGTATGTTCGAGAGCGGCAAATACGGAACTAGCTAAGGTACTATTCATGCGATCCTCAACCTTTTCGAATGCCGGAGAAACGAGTGAGAGAAGTGAACATTACAGATGTTTACAATTCATCGTATTTTTGTCATTTTCTTTTTTTTTTCCTATTTATAAAAATGCAGTAGCTGTAGCGAAAGAGATTGAGTAAATTGGGTGGCAACGGCGTTCATGCAGAATGAGTCCCGTAACATTTGTCGCAACGCATTCCTTGAATTATATCCACACATATCAATTCCACGAAGAATCATATAAAGATGAGACTAAAAAATATTCCGTAACTTTTATTGATACTTTTAATAAAAAGTGCTACGAATGCTTTATATTATGAACATTTATATCAATCAATCGAATTGCAAGATGTTAAGTGATTCGTTCTGCTTTGTAGCTCGTTACAAAAAAATATATGCTTCCAGAAGTTTAGCGATCGTAAGACTGGTTTGTAGAAGATGAGAGCGCGCTCTTCACTGATACTGTCTCGTGCGCGCCGATAAATTTGCGTGGAGACATTAAAGTGAGAAAGCGTGGATATATTCTTTATGAGAGAGAGAGAGAGAGAGAGAAGATCGCGCGGATTGGCGAGGCGAAACATATCGCGTCATAGCGATTTATTTTCTCCTTTTACAGATATTTTCCTAATGTCTTTCCAATAGAAAAAGAATCTCCCAGTAGAATTCACGAAGTGTACCTTCCTTCGATATAGTCAAATCATGGTAGTCGATATCATTCCGGTTACGTTTCACTAGGACAAACGTACGTATTATTGTAAATTACGAAGCGGCGAGAGAGCGAATTCGCGTCAGGAAGCCGGTGTGACCATAACTTCGCATAGTTTACTCGATAGCCTGAAGAGTATTTATTTTGTGCGTCGAACAGTGTTTTGTATGCGCGATCCCACGTAGCGAATCGACTAGCGAATTGAAACAACTTCCCATTAGCGTATAATAATTATCGGCTTGTAAAAACGTAGCAATGTGTGTTACGTAGCAAGCGAGAAAAGATATCATATCTTTGTTAAGGTACTTCCGTTCCCGGGAATCTATCTCTGGCTGTGTTAATAAAAACTTTTACCACTACTTCAGGTACGTGTTCTAGAGATCCAAATAAGAAAAGAAATTCATACAAACAAGTGTTCAGAAATGTAAAGATTTTTAAAAAATCAATATTTTTTTCACATTCTTTTCTAAACTTATGATATGAACAAAATAAAAATTCTTTACATTTTTTAAATTGTATTTTTATCTTTTTGAATTACTCGTTTTTCGATTTTTTTTTGACGATAGAGAGAGGTTCAAAATTTTAAATAAAATTTTTCTCGTGTGATAATTACCATTTCTGAGAAAAATCTTTTTTTGATATCTTTAGAGGATTATTACTCCTCAGGAAGAGTTGGAGAAAGTGTGAACTGATATCCTATTTTCATAAAAAATAAAAATAAGAAACTGAATCAAGTAACTGAAGGAGATCAAGGCTCCGCTTTGTTCCGCTTCTCTTGAAAGGCCCTAGGCTTCAGAAGTTAAAGGAATTAAAGGGGTTAATGAATAATAAATTGGAGGAGATTGTAAGGTAAGAGAGAATATACTTCCAGACACGTATTTCTATGAACTCTTTTTCATACTGTGGCCTTTAAGTATCTGAAGTAGCGGTAAAGTGTTTATTAATACCCTCTGCCTGTCTGGCTGTCTGTGTGTACGTGCGCGTACGTGTGAGCATAAATGTGTGTAATGCAAGGAATTAACAGATCGCTGTTAAAGTTGAAGTTGTTATGCAGATATTAGCGTTTATTTGAATATTAGTACTAAACCAAAGTGTTGATCAGCGATAACTATTTCGATTTTTCGAAGAATATCGTCGCAATTGCTATGGATTGATCGATCGGGCTGTATACGATCGAAGTATTAAAGTTTATCAAAAAGTATCTTATTGGGGCAAAATCACCTTGAGATAACATAAAATGTTGCTTGTTCGTTACATAGCCAGGACATTTCGGCCTGTATTCTCACCGGATGTTCAAGAGATGTAACGGAAGAGAAAAAAAATTACACTTTCGGCTTCGAGAAAACGCTATTATATTTAGCACGTTAAAATAAAATCTATATAATAAAAAAAAACACTAAGCGCCACAAGTATGATAAATATGCTTTTCGGTAGTACGATTAAAAAAAAAAAAGGTATTTATTCCATGGCTGTGTGTAAACCTGAACTCGAGAAAACCTCATCAGATTCATCCTGGCTAACGATTAATAATTAGTAAACAGCGAACTCGACGCTCCTAGAGCGACGGCACCGCTTTTCGAAGGTGCAATACTGCGAATTACTAATCGAAAGATGTGTCGTATAACGAGGCAGTTATTACTTATTCCAACGGACATTACCTCGCGTTTCGTACGATTTCATCGTTATCCATTTTTTTTATACACGAACCTACGAGACCTATATGTTCCATAAGTGTAACAATGGAGTACAATAAATTGTTATAATATGCAGCGCATTTCTCCTGCCGTCTGTGTATCACATATAATCGCCGCGATGAAAGTGTAAATTTCGCCTGATCTTCGCAACGAGGCGCGGCTTCTCGTGAATTCGCTTCGCATAGAAAAATACTAAGTAATATTACATCCTCTATCGTTCTCTATTCTACTCCTTTGTCCTACATTCGAAATTTAAATTACTATTTCTCTTTTCTGAGCATTTTACGGCACGCATACATACACCCACATAACCACACACTTGATACACTTGATTATCTGATAAACATCTAAAAGTGTAGGTACTTTTCGTTTCGATTTGTTTAAAAAATTCCCTCCCCAAAAAAAGTACACAGAAATGTGAATTTCCGTGAATGATATTTTTAAAAGAAATAGACCAGAATTCGAGAAACACGATAATTAAAGATGGTACGGTGGATAACAAAACGTAAATAAACGGGCATTGATATTTCCCTCGATATTCGATTTTTGCAATAAATTATACTAAATAATATACTAAATAATAGCTTGTCATACCTCAATTTTTAAATAAACACTTGCTCGCTCGCTAAACTGTCGGCAAACGGCGCAACAATCACTCTCGTGGCAAAATAAAACGTCAAACCAAACGTGATGGAAATCGGTAGTGCGGGCAGCGCTTTCTTGAATATGGCCAGCAGCAGCAGTGTCAGACAGAGGCCCTGTGTGAGGAAACAAGCCGATTAGGAAAAAATTTCATCGATGTTCCAGCGCGATAAGCGCTACTTAAACAAATACGTACAATAAGAATAGCGACGAAGCAAGCCAACGTGGTGTTCCAGTCCCCGTAGCTGGACGCCTTTCCAACGAGCACGCTATAAAAGATGAAATCCCCGAGGCCCAGCTTGACCCCGCGTTCCTCCTCGGCCGCGGCGCCTCCTTGTCCTTGCGGACGACTGTCCTGCTGTCTCGCGCTTTCCCTAGTCGCGACCGAGTTCTCGCGTACCTCTTGGGCGCGCCGCGTGCTACGCTCGTCTGTATAATCAAGATTAATTTAATTCTTTGTTCGAAAGACCCGTTAAGATTTAATCTTAAATTTAGATGTTTTGGAAAAATTAAATAACTTGATACATTAATAATTCAATACATTGATCCTTAGAAAAAGAGCTTAATTTAATAGATTGAAGAGCTTAAATTAGTTTGATTTCATTTTCTATTTTTTGTTTAAAAGACCCGTTTGTTAAAATTTAATCTTAAATTGTTTTGGAAAAATTAAATAACTTGATACATTAATAATTCAATACATTGATCCGTAGAGCTTAAATTAGTTCGATTTCATTAATTAATTTAATAGTTAATATTTTATCCATTGGAAATTTCATTAATTCGTACCGTGCGTCTCTACCCATTCGGGAGTGAAACCTCCCTCTTCCGTGTCGCCTGACGCTTGATTATTTTGATTGTCCGCCTGACCGCGCGTGGGAGACTCCGCGGTGTCTCCGGACGCCATTGTAGCTGCTTGCACGTACCCGGCGTAAGTGACGGTAAACGAGTATAAGATGGTGGAAGAATATATTAGAGCAGGGAAAATAGATTCGTTTCGCTCCTGCGCCGTTTCCACGAGTATCCTTAGTGGACCCTTCGGTGTTAAAACCGCAATCAAGTCTACAATGCAGGTAAAGAAGGCTGTGAGATCGTCGAGGCACGTGCGACAAGTTCCCGTCTCGAAAACGCCTTACCCCAAATACTTATGACACCGAGCACAACCCACGCCGTCCATTCGGGTAGATACTTGATGAAAACGAGCGCCATCAGGGCGGAGATGAAGATCAGATATGCCTGTTGAAGTTGCAACGGGCCGTTCCAGTGAATGCAAATCATTCCGACCACGCCGAAATTCCACAAGCCTATACACAGTGTGAAGAAATCCATTGGAATGTTATAAGCTTTCAACACTTGCCTGCAAGTAGAAATACACCATATTGAATTCTTCTTTCAGATTGATTAACGGACGGTGCATTTTAAATTTACGCCGTACACCTCTCTTCGTACACTTACTCGCAATACAGAGCGGAGAACATTGAAAGCAACAGTAGAGAGCTTATAATCAGCCAGCCGTGTATGACTTTGTAAAATCTGTATTTGTAAAGGATGATAAGTATCACAGTCATAAACACAATGACGCTCATGAGAATCAGCGAGTTGGCGAACGCCTGCCAGACTTTGGTACTCGTGTCGGCGCTGTCCTCGTGAAACGGAGTGTATACTCTGGAAAGAATCGTTCCAACAAATCGTCGTGTCGTGCGAAATATATATATATGTGGATAACATACTGATTGTTGCCAGGGCAAGAGACTCACAAGTACATTCCCTTGGTCGTGTAGAAATGGACTGAGCTGATGGTGGCCACCACGACCAGCATACACAGCGAAACGGGAACGAAGAGTTTGATCACATGCGCCGCGCCGTACTTCAGCTCCTCCTCCTCCTCCTCCTCCCTGTAGTGCCTCAGTCTGTTTTGATTACTGCTACCGGACGTGCCGCGTCTGTTCGATCGGGCGACAGCCGTGCCTGGCGTCTCGATGTGCACCTCGGGAATCCCATTCTCCACCTGTGACAGAGGAAAGGACACTTAATGAGGGCACCTTAAATCTCTCTCACTCTCTCTCACTTTCTGCCAGCAAAAATCGAAATTAATTATTGAAACTCTCTCTGATTAAACGAAAGACCGAGGGTCCTTCCTGGGAGAAAACCTACCTCTTCGTTGGCACTTCTGGAGCGGCCCTTCCGACGCTCGTTGCCCAGGATCAGGTCGTCCGTGCGAGACTCCGCGACGTGACCGTCCATCAGGCTTGTGTACTCGTTCGCTGAATCGTAGTCACTCTCAGACATTCATCAAAGTCTTGTGTGTTTCGGGCAGGAGGAGGGCTCGTTTCTCTCGACGTCTCTCGTGCGTCTCCCTCGCGCTACTTCCGACAATATACACTTTCGGCAGTTTATTCCCTGGACACGCGTCACGCTTGCATAAAAGAAGATAGAGAGAAGAGGCCAGAAGAGACGCGGCTTACGTTCGATTCGACTCTCCCGTTTCTCTGACCATCCTAAACTCGTCCGTTCTGCGAGTACAAGTCTTTGCTACTTGTTGACAACCGTTTACAATCTCTCTCTCTCGCTTCCTGTCCCTCTCTCATTCTTCCCTCGCTGATTCACTGGTGTGCGACCGCCATCTTTGAAAAAAAAAATACAAAGGAGGTTATCCGAGCATCTGCACTCTCTGGGAAGTTCTCAGTGCAAAAAAAGTGCAAGCAAAGCGAACAGACCTAAAGCAGAGAGAGTCCTCTTAAACAATTACAACTATTTATACATAATATTGTCGTTGATGTTATGTTTAACGATATTAATTGATTGAAACGTTTTTATCGAATACATATAAGTTAAAAATATAAACGTACTTATCAAATTTGTAACAAATTGAGTGAACATTAATTTAATCTCGAATAATCTGATAATTTTTTTTTCGTCAATTTTATTCAAAACCGACTTTTTCCAATATATATTTGTTTTTCGCAACTTCGAATTAGAAAACATCCAATGACGACATTAACGACACAATTAAACGTACGCTACTGCTTACCCACTATTAAATTTTATTAGCTTCCACGTATTTATATGGAATTACGACCTACGCGTATCTGAACAAGTTACTTTTTACGATTGTTACTGTTATATACATTGTAAAATAAAATTAAAGAGGTCATGCGAGTAACACACGATGAGGATAAGCGGAAAGAACTATTTAGGTTAGGTTAAATTGTATAACCAGAGGCAGAGTCGCAGAGAGGACTGCTCTCGTCCACTAACGCCCCCTGAAGAAGAGGGTGTAAACTACATAGCAACATTCCGCACGGCGGGTATACAATTTGTGGTGCGTGTCCGTGCTAGTACCTTTGGAGACTGCTGGGGATAATTCCGATATAATTTATTCTTGAAAAATTGCGCATTCGAAAATCAGATTACGGATATTTCCGGTCAATCTTCGACTATGTTCCGTGTCATAATTGCATTCGTCACGTTTGTTTCCTCTATACTTTTTTCCTCCACAGAGAGTAATAAGTACACACATGTAGTGCGCCATATTGAATACATCAAGTGCATGGGAGGACGCCCGATCGTCGCGACGTGATTGGTTCCTTGAGTTCCTTCAATTTGAAATTTCTCAAGATCGCAATTGCGCGATTTGCGCGCCCAAAACGTTGGTGTCGTTAGTTCTAGAACATTCTAGAAGCATGCCGGGACGATGGCGGTCGCATGCATCTAAGTGTATCTCTGTATCTCCGATCGCTATCGGTATCGGTATCGTTTAAAAGAGTATCTCGCGTGTGAATACAGTGTGTACGTGATGGATATATACACGTAATGGAATACAGTGAAGGAATACAGTGACGGAATGCAGTGAAGGAATGCAGTGAAGGAATGCAGTGAAGGATGCAGTGATGGAATGCAGTGAAGGAATGCAGTGAAGGAATGCAGTGAAGGAATACAGTGAAGGAATACAGTGCAGATGGAATGCAGTGATGGAATGCAGTGAAGGAATGCAGTGAAGGAATGCAGTGAAGGAATACAGTGAAGGAATACAGTGATGGAATACAGTGTGATGTAGTGTGTTTTGTATACGTGTGGATCACGAGCTTTGTGTGATGCGTCGGAGTACCGGCGATCCGGATTCCGGAGCTCTTGTGCTTCGTGGAGCATCGACCAAGGAGTTGCCGTTCTAACCTAGATATTTTGGATATTCTGCTCTAAATACAACCAGGAACGCCAGGAGACGTGTGCAAGGATCATCGCCAGGTAGTTTATGCATGTACTGATAATCCGGAATTAATATCTGTGACTTCGTCGAGCTGTCTCAATTTTCAACACGAGAAAAAACGTATACGGTTATCACTGCGCACTGCGTTCCGTTAATTCGCGATCCGGTGGTGAATTTTGACATTTTCACGTCGTACGGCGTCGATCCGATGGAAAATTCGATGTCGGATACAGTTTTTTGAGAGATAAGGCGAGAGATTCGTCAAGTGCGATCCGCGTGATCATAGCGACGCTTAGCTAAATGTTACTGTTCAGTGCAATATGGCAGATGTGCGACATTTTATTAGGTGACTTTCACGCGATCGTACATACTACCACTAACGATAAGTGGGGTTTGAGTCTCCGCTAAGTGGGGTTTGAGTCTTTGCTAAATTCATATTTTACTCAGAGGGCAGGCTGAAACCCCACTTAGCGGAGACTCGAACCCCACTTAGCGGAGACTCAAACCCCACTTAGCAAAGATTCGAACCTCACTTAGAGTGCCGTCCCATGGCAGATTTTTCACGTAACGCGCGTATCGCTTCTCTCTGGCACTGCACTCGCGGGGGTGTGAATCGTCCATTAGTTTGCCGCCGTTTCGAACACGGAGGAGCATCGCCGACTGTCGCCGACCGCCGCCGATACTCGTCGACCATCGCCGGTTGCCCGTCATCTCCCCCCCCGAGGGCCCCCGAGTCCTCCGACGGTCCGACCCCGACGCACGCGAGAGACGAGTTTACAGCAGTTTAACAGTTCGGTACGGCCTCGACGACACGGCGAAACGCAAAACGGTGGCGGGCAGTGGGCGAGAGCGAGGGACGAGCCCATCTCCCACGCACAGGTTCGGCGTCGCGCGCGGTCGCGACCGACTCGAGGAGGCGGTCCCACGACAACGCGGTGTCCATCGTAATTATGCAGTGCTAGTGAACGTGAATGTCAGACACAATGAGCTTCTCTAGCGATGAGGTCAACTTCCTGGTCTACCGATACCTGCAGGAATCCGGTACGTTGCCTCGCGCGGCGCGCCGCTCACATAACCTCACAAGACGAACGCCGCGTCGCGTCGCGCCGCAGCCGCGTCCGACGTCCGTTCGTCGGCCGCGCGTCTTATCGCGGTCGAGCAGGCCGGCGATTCGAAAGCGGATTACGACTCGGCCGGGAGCCGTGTGGACGTCGAATCGCCCGTTCGAACGATTCGTGAAATTTGTCTCAATCGACGCAACTTGTCATCTTTGACTCGCCCCCGCGCGTCTGAGCTTAATTTTTTTTTATCTCTGAACGCGTTCTGGCGTTCACTGCTCACTCTGAATCCTCGTGTCTCCCGCAGGTTTCCAACACTCCGCGTACACGTTCGGAATAGAGTCCCACATATCGCAGAGCAACATCAATGGAGCCCTCGTGCCACCGGCAGCACTCCTGTCCATCATTCAGAAGGGGCTACAGTACACAGAGGCGGAGATAATGATCGGCGAGGATGGCACCGAGCACCGAATGGTGGAATCTTTGTCGCTCATCGACGCCGTTATGCCAGATATCGTTGCGACGCGGCAGAATCAGATCAATCAGCAGAAGCAGCAGGTGAAGGCGGATGGTCAGGATACCAATGGCGAAGAAGGTAATCTACTTTTGCTGTATATATATATATACACTTATATAAGTTAAAGTAGAATATTGTTTATCTCTAAATTTTTTTAAACATGTAAGATTATGGTACTAACAAGGAAAGGGATCCAAGTGTCCCTCTTCAATTTTGATCAGCTTTTAATATGTTATTTTGTAAACAAAATCAAGAATTAAATTACTGCATATTCGTGCCCGTTCGCACCCTCAAGGGGTGAACAATCCAAGAAAAAAATCGGTTTTTTTATTTCAGAGCAAAAATTTTCTTTATTTTAACAGAGTTATCTTTTGTAATTTAAAAGTTTTTAAAAATATTAAGTACTCTTAAAGCCATTCAACTTTAATTAGAAACATTTTTTTTCCATCCCTCATAGTTTCGATATTCGCTTTGAAATAAAAAAGCCAATTTTTTTTCTAAAGAATGTTTCACTCCTTAAAAATGCGAATGGGCATAAATATGCAATAGCTTAATTCTTGGTTTATTTGTCTAAAAAATAACATGTTAAAAGTTCATCAAAATTGGAGGAAGATACTTGGATCCTTTTCTTTGTAAGCTTAAGCGATATGGATAAGAAATATAGATAAGAGAGATAGATTAAACTAGTGGTTTTTGTAAGATTACATAGAAAATAAATGCCTATCGTTGAGAGCCTGATACACCCTGGTCTGGAGAAGTTGTATATTTTTCAGACCTCCATAGAATTCAGGTAGATTAAAATAGGACGGCCATGGATTTCAGATATTTTGTGAGCTATAGCTTGTCACTTCTGTCAGGTGTAACAGATAAAAATATGACTTCTCTACATATTTTTATTACTGGATACAGCCAGAAGAGACCAGTATATAACTTATCATCAATCTGTCTGTTGACCAGTGGCAAACAATTCTTTAAATAAATAGATTAATAAGTAGAAATTATTGCTGTGTCAAACGACGATGATAAATAATAAGTTAAAGTAATTTGTGATTCGACAGCGATTATCTTTCCATTATTATTTCTATTCTTAGAATAATGATCGGAAAGAGGAATTTTTTGATTCCATTATTCTGAAATGGCCACAAGAGATTCCTATTAAATTAATTAGATAAACGTTCCTTTCTTCTCGCAGTTGTCACGTCCAACGAAGGTGTAAACAATAACGATCGAAGTGGAGATCGGGGAACGGAGATGGAGGTGGACGAGCCGGCAACAGGTGCGAACGCAGGCGCCAACGCCAGCACCGTCGAGATACCTGCCAGCAAAGCCACCAAGTTGCGCGGTCACGAGTCGGAGGTGTTCATCTGCGCCTGGAATCCGACGACCGATTTACTGGCCTCTGGCTCGGGCGACAGCACTGCTCGCATTTGGGATATGTCGGACAACTCGCAGGCGCCCAACCAGCTGGTCCTACGCCACTGTATTCAGAAGGGCGGCACCGAAGTGCCTAGCAATAAAGACGTTACCTCGTTAGATTGGAAGGTACAAACCGAATACTTTAATGATTTAATGATTAACGATTGAATGATCGCGCTGACGTAAATACGCATTTCAAACTTTTACAGTGTGATGGCACGTTACTCGCGACGGGAAGTTATGACGGATACGCGCGAATCTGGACTACGGACGGGCGATTGGCATCGACATTGGGCCAACACAAAGGCCCGATCTTCGCCTTAAAATGGAACAAACGCGGTAATTACATTCTGAGCGCCGGCGTCGACAAGACAACGATAATTTGGGACGCCGAGAGTGGACAGTGTACACAACAGTTCAGTTTTCACTGCGCGCCCGCCCTGGACGTCGACTGGCAGACGAACACATCGTTCGCGAGCTGTTCCACAGATCAATGTATACATGTGTGCAAACTCAACGTGGACAAGCCCATCAAGAGCTTCCAGGGACACACAGTGCGTATATATGCGATTAGAAAAATCGCCCACAGCTTAAAATCAAGCGTTTCCCTTCATTTTCCTCTTTTAACTCATTGTGTTTTGCAGAACGAAGTCAATGCAATTAAATGGGACCCGCAAGGAAACCTGTTGGCCAGCTGTTCGGACGATATGAGCCTGAAAATATGGTCTATGAAGCAGGACACGTGGGTGCACGATCTGCAGGCGCACAGTAAAGAAATCTACACGATCAAGTGGTCACCGACCGGCCCGGGGACGCACAATCCGAATATGAATCTAACGTTAGCTAGCGCATCGTTCGACTCCACCGTTAGACTGTGGGACGTGGAAAGAGGTGTTTGCATACACACGCTTACCAAACACACCGAGCCAGTTTATAGTGTAGCGTTCAGTCCGGACGGGAAATTCCTTGCTAGCGGTAGTTTCGACAAGTGCGTTCACATATGGTCTACGCAAGTGAGTATTGCAGTTTCTCTCTTCATAGTTTCATTGTTTTCTAAAATAAGAGAATTAAATTGATTTTGCTTTCTTCTGCATTCGAACAGAGCGGCCAGCTGGTGCACAGTTACAAAGGTACAGGCGGTATCTTTGAGGTCTGCTGGAATAGCCGCGGTGACAAAGTCGGTGCGTCGGCATCCGACGGCAGCGTATTCGTTCTTGATCTTCGTAAACTATAATTATAAATTACGTCCTAGAAAGTCCTATTCCTGTTTCAACAAGTTTTGTTACAACTCTGCTTTAATCGAGGTATACTATTCCTTCCTTTTATCATATCTTTTTCATTTTCTTATTATATCGGGCGCAATTGGGAACGGAGAGTGCTTTTTACACGTGACTTGCACGAATGCGGAATTTTATTTGCAAAATGATTTCTTTGAAAAACGTATTTAAACTTATTCCAGATTTCTTTTAATTTTTATGCTTTTCCATTGAAATATTAAGATGAGATTGGAATTTTTATTCTAAATAGTTTTTTTATCACATAAAAATTCTCGTAAACTATAAACTAATAATTTAGATCTTAATTAATATAATGTATTTAAACAGAGTTCTATAAACAAGCTTTCTTAAAATAATCAATAATTTTTAATCATAAGCATTTAAGTTAGTTGAGTTTTCCTTTAAATATATTTATGAATTACGTTATTAATTACGTTACTTATACATAAAAAACTACATTACAAAAAATTCTTATATAATTAAAGGACATTATAGGTGATGATTAAATAAAATTATTTAATAAAGCGCGTACTTTCTCGGTTAAAAAAAATTTTTTTTGTATGCTATTCCCTTAATATTTCTTTACGATGCATAAAAAGAAGTGTACATTAATAATATTTTTAGCCGTGACACAAAACACTGTACAGTATACTTGACAAACTCGACAAACTTTTTACAAAGAAACGGATTGCTATCTATATTCATTAAAAAAATGGCTGGAGTATACTATTTATGCTCCAGTTGTAATTATAATCACATACAATTAGAGTTGTAACTGTGATAGTATTAAATAATATGTAAACATTGACTATGAATAAAAGAAAAATGAACTTTTTTAGAGAAAAATGGTGATTACATGATTGAGAAAAAAATGACAATTTTTTATTCACCATAACATTATCATATTTTTGATAATGCATAGAAACATAGGAAAAGATGCCTATTGTTGGCTTTGACTTTAAACGAGATTTGTTATCATTCTAGTTATGTATCATGTAACTAAAGGGTTTTATTAGTTTACCAGTGACTCAATATCGTGATAACGAAATGATAGCAAGCGATTTATACGCTGAAAATTATATTTTTATATAATTTTAATTTGTTTTGATTATACATTTTTCAGATAAATAATTATCTCTGTGACCACAAAATCTATGCAATTACATGTATTTTAATATATATTTATTTTTCTTTTTTTAATGATTAATTATATTATATAAAGCTTAAAGTCATTAAAAAGGATTTTGAGAAAAATGATGTGTGCATTCACACGTACTTTCTTTAGAAGATCTTTTACTCTTCAGAACTCTAAAGTTTCATATATTTATGAATATGTAATCTGTTATTGAAAAACGATGAGTGAATATATTAAAATACTTATATGTAGGGTAGAAATCGTTGAAAGATTTAGTAACTACATTCTCCAATTTCCTAGATTTTCTGAAATTGCGTTTGATAAAAACGCCGAGGCAATTATACGTGGAAATATTCTTGTGGTACGGTGGACATTAAATCACATGGATATTAAATAATTATTTTAATAATGCATATACACGTTTTATTTATCCGCGAAACTTTCAATCTCATGCATTGCGTTAGACATTTTATTTTTACACAATTGATAATCGCCTGTTTTTTTTTGTACTTTCGTAATGGCACAGGAATAAATACATAACTGCGGGAATGGCACGAAACGAAAGTCATATCAACATTAAAACTATTTCTAAATTATAACCATTTGGGATACAATCTTGTACTTTTATCAATGAAAATCTTATCGTGTATTATAATAGTCTTTCTTAACATTAACAGTATATCTGATCTCCGGATCCTTTTACAAGTTTTTTTTTTCGATTCCCTTACATTTGCGAATCTGTGGAATTAGTCTCTCTTTAGTGTACGCTATACGCAGAAAATAGAATTTCCCTCAGAATTGTAGACAGCAGGTACACACATATGAGCGCCTCCCGTCCGACGATCGGCGCCGGACGTTTGTACGGTGCGGAGAGGCGATAAACTATCGATACAACGAGGTATTTGTACATTTAATAGTTGGCGAAAGTGAAACTGCGTAAGTTCAATCGACTCCGTGTATACTCATTATATCGTCCGCTACGAATGTATATATTCGGTAGGTAGTATATATCGGTAAAGCGCGGTGGTGGACTCGAGAATTATAATAATTAGTAACACACGCTAAAGGATCGGGCGTCAGGTATTCTCTGCCGAAGAACAGAAGACACAGCTTAAACGAGAGATCACAATGTTATAATACTGCCTCGTTACGCCTTTCTCCGCGAAGGGGATTTCGGACGCGGAGGAAGACGGAAGTAAAGCTTTATATACGTAAAGCTCAGATCTTTGTACGTCTCTTTGGAACGTTACGCGCGCCAGTCGAATCGGTCGCATCCCCCGAACGATGCGCGATCGCGATTCCCATTGCCTGCCAGCTTCCGTGACGCACGGCTGTTTTTACATCGAATTCATTTACAACCTAACTCAATAAATAAACGCTAAAATTAACGGCGAATTGGAGAGGGGAGGGACGAATACTGTGTGGAACGAAACGTTTCGGTTTCTCGATTGAATCCATTAGAGAGGGTTAGTCGCGTTAGCAGCCCCACCCCCCTCCCCCCGCGTTGTTTGTTGGCGATTGTAAAATTCAGCAATTTTTGGACATACATACCGCCAGCCACGGCTGGCGGGACTCGGACTATCTGCTAAACGAGGATAGGCAAGTAGCGGAAAGAAGACAAGCAGACAAAAATAACTTAATGGATGATTAAAAGTCGCATATAGTAAAGCTAAGATATATCGGATCTGTAGTTCTTCTTCGCATGCCGAGAGGCGCGATTACAGCACACGAAGCTCATTAGCCTGTACCTGAAAGATCAACATTATTATTATTATTAAAATGCAATTTAAAATCTTACTTATATATTTTCTAAATTCTGATTGACGACGAGAAGTGAATCAATAGTAAATTATGTAACTATTGTTTTATAAGACAAGATAAGGAAAAATCTGAGAAAATTGTCTCACCGTCCGATCGTCTTGCGACTCGCGGAACAAGCGGTTGTTCTCTTCGGTCCACTCGTTTCTATCGGATGCTGCGGACCGTCCGCGGTTACTCTTCATGCCGGATCTCGCGATTCTGCCGGCGTTCGATACCGACCTCTTACCGATGCTCTCGAGGAAGCGACGATTCTCGTCGACCTGCCGTTGGTCTTGCAATGCCTTTCGGCGAGCCAACTCGAGCAGGACTCTCTGCCTGAGCACGTCCAAATTGTTTACGATCGACAGAGATCCGATTCTCTTGGTGCGCATCACGTCTGGCCCGAGATCGTTCTCCGAATTCAGCATCTCGTCCTATTCAGAGAACACGAACATTGTCGCATTAATTCTTACAATACTGAGGGAAAGAAGAGCATGAACGATAGAATCGTAAATAGATTATCGATCTTTTCATTATCAAAATGACGATCAAAATGTTATAATTATTGCATGAGAAAATGGATTTTCTTATTTTATGCGTTATGAACCTAGGATAGTCTCACCACAGATTCCGTTCTAGCAATTCTTTGAACGCGTATAGCTTGAATAAAAAATATATTCGGTATAAGCATACTTTGAAAAGGAAGAGCTTTAAAATCATAAATAATATATATATATATATATATATATATATATATATATATCCGAGAACTTGTCCCGTTTTAAATAATGCGATTAGATTACAGCAGTAAGATTTTTACGAACAGCCCATCCTATTGCGTGAATATTACTATGCACGACAAAACACTATCAGCTGTTCCATTACATTACTGTAGTTGGCTAACAGCGCTGACAAGCTTGTGCATTCTAATCTTATCAACCGTATGTTGCTTAAAGTTTTACTAACAAAATTTATTGCAAAACCGGATATTTTATGGATTAAACTTATCAAACCTGAGAGGGTTTTCTGTTGAATTTTATATAAATTTTGTTTTTAAAGATGTAACTTACCAGATGATAACATTTATGATGAAAAATTAAAGATTTTATACATATATACGTATATTCAATTATACAAATATATGTATATATGATTAAAATTAAATTTAAATAACTTTCGAAGAAATGTACATTATGTGCACAATGTGCATTATGTCTGAAAGCATTAAAGTATTTATTGTTAACATCTGACATTAACTACCTTGATAATTAATCTGATAACTAAAGTTCTGTAATGATATGAAACAAAGAATGGATCTCGAGCGAGATAACGCCTTCGTGAATACGCAGGTATTAAGTGCAATTCGTGAAATTTATGCGCTTCTGCGTAGCTACAGTTTACCGTATGACGTCTCCCCGAGATACGATGTATAGATACTTTTACTTTACCGCGCTTTTACGTCGTGCTTTATGTCTACTCAGCTCATATATGGGGACTCTTTACGGTCGTTTATTCTATTGCGCATTCTCGCAAAACGATTCCTTCCGAATTGGTCTCTCGCTCTCCCTCTCTCTTCCCTTTCCCTGTCGCGCAACATTCATAGATGAACTTGTACAATCGTTACAACAATTGCGAATTCGTGCGCTGCACAACGACAGCCGAAAGTACAATCCCTCGAGCGAGAGTTCGCAAGAGCTCTCACCTTATACTGTAACTATGCACCGAACCGGAAAATACGTATTTACCGAGCCGGGCGAAGAGCGAATAATGAATTCACATGAATAATGAAGGCACCTGCCACCACCAGGTCGTCGTGTAATCTGCTTTTATGCAGCGTGCCTCGGAGCGAGTAAAAAATTCTAGAATTCACGCTGTAAATTATTCTAATTGACGTGTAAAATATTTCGAATTAGCAAACGAACCGAGTTGCTAAAAAAATATGTGAGCTGTATATCTGTTCACAAAGTTGTTCTTAGAAATTGCCGATATTAAAAAAAAATAACAGCGGTTCCGAGAGTGTCTCTCGTCAGAGAAAAATCATTGTTTTCTCTGGAAATATCGGACTTTAAAATAAATGAGAAAAGAAATTCATGTGTTATATACGAAAACAGCACGCTGAGTAACGTACAAAGATTTCCCCATGACTAACGGCAACGATAATTTCTTCTGTTATTGCGAGATTACGTTATCGTGTGCGTACATAACTCTTTTCCGCGCCACAGATAGCTTTCTTGAAGATGATCTCGAGGAAGTGACAGATTTATTCTTGGTACACAAACGAAAAATATTACTTATAATATGAAGCCTATATATTACAATAATATAAAACATATTATAAGTAATAAATATTATTCATATTATAATAAAATATTATATATTTTCTTGACCAGAGACATGTACTTCTGCATTTTACACTTGTCCGATATAATGTCCGGTATTTTGAATTTTATTGGAGCGAAGATTGTATTCGAGGGGAAAGAGGCGCGGTCGGATAAAAGGACGCTTTACGGTCTCGCGTGTCAAAATCTATCCGCTCCGGAGATAAGACGGTGGCAGCGTTGCAGAGCAGCACGGGAAATAAGGAGCGATGCGCAGATGCTCTGTAACGCGACGTGGGACCTCCCCATGTGCATAGAAAAGCCAGAGAGAGCCGTCCCCATTCATGACTCGCGCGCGCCTCTCTGATTCACACGCATCGCCGTATATATAACGTATACGTTTACGTCATTTTCCATCATTTTCCGATATCAAACCGTGAGGCGTCCCCCGTCCGCGCCTGCGAATCTCCCGCTGCATCCCCGTCGCGTCGCGTATAAGTGTGCGTCATCCCCGCCGGGACGCCCGCGCCGCGCCGGTCGATCCGTAATGTACACGCTTAACTATTCAAAATGCAAAAGCGCTCGTAAACTAAGCGATCCGACGAGAGACACGTGTCTCGGTGCTTGTTGTCCGGACACAATGGCATCCGTATATTTGGAATACGTTGTTCTGTTGCGCGACGAACGCGATTTCCGCGCGCGCAGCGTTTCACGCGCTTAGAATTATTACTATCGATTATCGATGATGGTCTCTCCCCTTATCCGCGGCGTATCTTTTTCTCTCCTCCACTCGCATCCTTAAATGCCGTGGATCTGCATTCATGTGAGAAAGAGAAAAAGATGCGATAAGAGAGCATTCGTCAATAGTCCGTGATTCTGAATTTTGAGGAAATATTTTCGCAACGTTTATTCGCAAACTTAATTTATCTACATAGAATGAGATAAAGATGAACGAATATGAATAAGTGGACATAAAGCACTCTTGATTTCAATCAACTCTGTAGTTACTTTTTAATTTTCTGTGCGTGAAATACGTAAATAGGATGGAAATGACATAATTCCAATTATAGAATCGAAGCTGTTTTTATTAGATTGCTTTATTTTCCGATTATTTCTACGTATTTGCCGTGTTACTTTATTCGAGAAAAAAACATACCTCCAATTCTGGTATTCTTTGATCGATCAACAGGAATATTTTGGGACGATCGTCTGACACGTCCCTTCTTTCGTACGACGACAGAGGGGCGGAACTTGTGAGTCCGATTATCGTCGTCGACGCCAAGATACCAAGTAGTATCATCGTGCAGGAAGAATGTAAATTAATAACGTTCATCTGAAACACATCATCGAAATGCTTGCAGGTGATAACAAGTCGGCAAAGTATTCATTACGGATAATAAAAATCAGATTTTCGTTGTAAAAAAAAATGTATATAGATATCACTTTTTTCCTTATTTTCATAAAGAGCTTGTGACATTCGATTGTCTAATTAAATTACATAATGACTTACGGACATTTAGGCTGCATATTTTTTCGCGCCATATGATACTTTTATCTCAAGTTTTTGCGCCGTGTTTACGTCGAGATACGACTTGGATCGAAGACAAAGTTTGATGCAATGCAAAGTTTGATTCATTTTAAATATACAATGACGAAATTAAGAAGAAAAGCAGAAAATTATACGGGTAAATTTACGCGTCTTTGCGTGTCAAGTAATTTTTCAATTTTTTTCTTGTTCTTTAAAGCCTACCCGATTCGAAAACAAGCCTTGTTTTGTCATCTGCCATCCATCATAGGCTGTGTTCGCTTTGGCGCTTAAGGCCCGTCTACATAAGTCGCAACACGCAAAACGCAAACGCACACGCGGAGAAAAAAAAAGAAAAAAGAGAGAGAAACGTCATCTTGCGTCCGCGTTTTGCGTGTTGCGACTTACGTAGACGGGTCTTTACAGTGCTCACAGTATCACTTCATCCTTGTTCTTTATCAACTGTTGAACAAGGACAAATAATGCTTATAAACGCTGTGAGCGGCGCCAAACCGAACGCATTGATCGGGTGATACATGAGAAGTTAAGGCCTGACAGCGGGTGAAAAGAGCTACTTTGTGAACGAATTGCTTACTGTGCCAACATCCGGTCGTTCGTTCTATTCCTCGAATCGCGTTAGAGCATTTCGAGAAAGCTATCGCTTTGTTAAATTACTCTCTAAATTTTCTGGAGTGAATCTCACTCCAAAAGATTAAAAATATTGCCACTCGGCCACTTGAGTGGCAGTATTTTCACTCTTTCGGAGTGGGATTCACTCCAAAAGAGTGAAAAGTCACTCCAAAAAATTTAGAGAGTACTTTTGCAATTGATCAAGTCGTAACTCTCACACGCAATAACATTTCTCATTAAGCATTATCAAGTCGTATCAAACGCGTTTATAGTTTAAATTATTACAATCTTTATCGTTTTATTAGGCAAGTAACATTTAAAAAATTGAAAAAAGTAAAGAGGAAAATTATTTTTTTGACCGTAATGTGACATTTTGATACTTCCATATTAAAAGCATTTTTTATATTTTTTTATATTATGTGTAATAAATATATTATTTTATATTATATGTATAATAAATATACATTAAGTATATCCTCTTTTGATTATAATTTGAAATATTAGACAAAAGAATTAATATTTCTCTTTTTTGTTAGTTTATTTTTTCAATGTAAATTAATCTTTTTTTTTTTAAGTTTTCTCGAAATAACCATAATTTTTAAAATTTATTATTTTTAACAATGAAATTTTTCCTATTATTAATTATTTCTAAACATACTGACGTCAGCACGTACAAAATGATAAACGTTTCTGCGAGACGTAGACGTTGTCATGGTTGTCGTCGTGTCGTTGCACAGTCCGTTACCGCCCGTCGTTGTCGTCATCGTCCGAGTCCATTAACACCAAGGGGCTTAATTTGCCGTTCGTAATTTAGGGCTGCCGCGTCCCGCTTTTCAATTACACGCTGCGAGTCGACCGGGCGACTCGATTTCAACGTCTTGATTCGAGTCCCGTTCCCTCTATTACTGTCCTTTCTTTCTAGTGCCGCTCTAGTATCCAAGGTTCGCGTCACGCGTATTTTTAATTAATGTCTAGACTAGAGATTGGTACAGTGGTCAAAGGGGATTAGGTGTCTCGTTATCAAAGTACTGCGTGACACACCGCGTGGCTGTTCGTTAGGCAACTTGGACAATTAGTAGACAACGTGGACGTTAAAAGAGACCTATACACGGGACCTACAATCTACTAGACTTTCAAGCACAACGAATCTCGTTAAATCTCGTTATTTAATCGTCCTCGATTTCTTTTTCTTCTTTTTTTTTCTTTCAAGTAAATTGAAGATTATTCTTTTCTCAAAAAGGAAAATACTTCTTCAATAGTTACGTATTAAGGAAATATTGAACTTCTTTACTAAAATGTGTGAAGAAAGGGATAAATTAAAAGAAAGGCAGAATAATCACTTTTTAGAAAATGGAAAAATTATAAAACCGAAAAATAACGTAATTGTTTCTTAACATGACTATATTTAGTATTTTTTTAGTATGACTATATTATAGAGATTCTGTAATATACTGAAAAATGAACAAATTGAGTAATAAGCGCTATTTCTTATTGTTTAATGATCTTTTTTTATTTAGGTAATTAAAATTCTTATGGTACAAAAATCAAAATGCCACAATTGATTAAGAAATATATGTTCATTTTTTACTGACAATAATTTAATTATACAATTTGAGAAGAAATATTTCGTGTTACAATTTCAGTCAAATTTCAAGCAAATTAGAGCAGGTTTTTTATTCATTTAATTAACGATTATAATTTGTTAGTTCAAGAATTGATAATGAAATGCATAATGCAAATGTGTGATGCATAGCATAATTTAATCAATGCACTAGCGATGATTGATTAGACTATCAGTTATATGAAATGCCATATACGTATATATTAATATTAATTACAACATTAGAATATTTTTCCACTTAGATTCTTTTAATAAACTCAAATAATAATGTTGAGAAACATCTCAATAATAAATGCACTTAATAATTACGCGCGAGCGCATGTAATTATGTTACATATTTGTGGTTATATATTTTTATTTTTCATTATTTAATTAATATAAGAATTGTGAACTTGTTAAGAAATAATGACTGTCGTCAGTTCCATTTCACCAAAATTATTCTGATAAGTTCCACAAAACGTGTACGATTCGATTTGAGATATTTCAGTAGAAGAAGCGTTAGCAAATCAGACCATCGCACGTGGTAACGAAACGAGTTCCATTCGCATAACGTAGGATTTTTACTTCGAATCGACGTTGGCTGAAACTCAATTTTGCAAAGCGTCGCGTCGTAACGAGCCGCGATATTTCCCGGCTCATTTTCCGATATGCAAAATGCAAATGACGCTGCAAATTCAAGAAGCTTGTTGCTCGAGCATAATACAGTTAATCGCGGTAAATTGATGCACGAATGTGAATCAAATTATCGTCCTCATTATCAAATTATCGTCCGCATGGCACTACTCATCAGCACGTTTATTTATGTAAATGTTCACTGATTGAGTGGACTCGCGAATCAATGCCTGCAACATGTCGTTTAGGCAATATAAACAGGCGCATGATATTTCGAGCACTTATAGGCACGCTTCCCCTTCCTCCCC